CCTCATCAGTTTACAGACATGGCTGAGACATGGTTTAAATGTCTTGCCCCTCTCTCACTCCACACTCCCTTCCTCTAGCAAGCCACTGACAGAAGAGAAGTCGAATCCATCCCTCCTGATTTCCAGTCCTCTGCTGCAGCCAAGCCACTAGGTTATATTCTTTCCATTCACTCAGTCAGATGAAGGCTTCATTTCTTTCCCAAGAGATTCTGAAAGTGGGAAGAAATGGCCTTAAGGAGAAAATCTGACATTCTGAATCTTTAAAAGGCTGTTTTTAATGTATCTATTGTTTCTTCACACTGCAGAATTCACAAATAAAAGGACATTATTGCAGAATCCATTTTGAATTTTACACATGGAGCATACCATTCTCTTTTGGTATTGTGATGACAGAAGAGACATATCAGCTTCTGACAGGTTCATCTTGGGGATTGGGGAGGACATGAGGTTATCCCTTTCCGAAGTTATTCGACATCTGGGTTTCCCCTTCAACAATGTTTTGACATGAGATAATTGCTAGCTTCATTCATGTGAGTGGATGGGTTTAAACACAGCACTGCAAGAAGTCATGTGGCTCTCTTTCTTAAAGGACCAAAGTACCCTATACCACTTCCAAATTGATGTTATTGCTTGCTTTTGCAGTGATATATATAGATATAGATATAGATATAAAGAACTTCACTTGACCTATTATGTATCCCTTCATCAAACACTCCGGAGAATAGGGAAATAACAGTGAAGGCAGGGAACACTGAAGAAAAAGAACCAACTAATATATAACAGTTTGTGTTTGGTAATCAAAGTATAATAAACACTTAGAAAAAACAAATGCATTGGAGTAATTTTTAAAGGAGAGCCCTATTTTTGGCAGTTTTTCCTTTTAGTTCTGTACACTCATCAGCATTTTGAACTATTCTATTTCAAACAGCCACAAAGCTCACAAATGAGACAGCAGATCCAATACTTTATTGATGCTTACAGCAGGATAAAATGAAAAAGCTCTGATTTAAATGGTTAGGCTGGCCATCTTTCAAGCTATCATTCTTTCAAATCCCTGTACTCCAGCAATTTGCCTGGAGACTTGCAACTCATCTGACTCCCACTTCAGAGAACAAAATTCTCTGAAACAAGTGGATAATCTCCACTGGCTATGATTTTATGGTAGTGCTTTGATTAGCAGGTGAACTTTCTACTGAAGTCATGTGAAGTAAGTAATTATTTAATTTTACAATATTGCTGTTCAGGTATTATTGAAAATTGAATTTTTAGCATACTCAGCAAAACAATACAAGACATGGGATAGGCAAAGGAAACTATAACACCGAGTGGAAAAAAATTTAAAAAGTGATGTCTGGTCACTTTATACATGGCCGGTCTCCAAGTACACGCTGAATTGCAAAAATATAGCACATACAAAAAGAATATTTATGTGTCCTTCTTCACTACATGCACAGAATTTTTTTCTGTCACACAAACTGTAACCACAATTTACAAGTATATGCACAATCAAATTACTATTGATTTAGCAATGCATTTCTTTGATGTCCCTTGCCTTAACCTCATTTATAAAGCTGTTTTGCATTATTTCAAACTGTCAATGATTTGTGACTCATGAATATTCAAATCTAATTTGCACTTACCTTTTTTTGCATGCATGCTTACTTGTTATGTGTCGCTACATTTACTCTTTTGTTTTGAATTTATTTTTAGACTGCGTTAAGTATATTCAACTTTTAAAGTAATACTATCTATTTAAACACAAGAGGCCTGATCGCCCCAAAATAATTTTGAATCAATCTAACACCACTAACTTTTTTGCAGTGTACTGATTTATATAAAAGAAGAGAATTAAGCCCAAGAACTGTCTTCCTATCTTTTTCCCTGTCCCCAACTTTACATTGATCAAGTCAGTACTTTTAGTAAATGTTTCCATGCAATAGCAGTAATTACTATTAATTTTTTTACCAAAGGAGTCTGAAAAAAATCCCTTTATCCTAGCACCTTCAAACTCTAGGGCAGTGTAGGATTACATTTGCCTGGAGAATGCAAGACTTGGACCCAATGTTACTCACTGATCGCAGAGTATTCTGCTATACAGTACAACAAACATACTTTTTCCTTTGTTTGTAATTGTGCTACACTCAACAAAGAATTTCACAACTTCAGAGATACCAGTAGGGAA